CGGGGCGGGGCCGAGGGTAGACCTTTGCCCGCCAGCCCCGACCGGTGGGTTCGGGGGGGTTCCTGCTGGTTTTGTTGCCGTTGCTCCCCCCTCCCTCCGCTGCCCACCGCCGGTTTTGGTTTCCCTTGGCCCCGCGCGTCTCCTCCTGTGACACGGCCAGCGCTGGCGTGCAGGGGCACAACTCCTGGGTCTTCCTCCCGCAGAACCCACCCTGCCCGGGCGTGGGTCCACCGGCATGGGAAGCGTCCCCAGTGCCGGCTCAGGGCGTGCTTGCTGAGCAGATGGCGCAGGTTGGGCTGGTAGAACGATGCTGGGCAGCCGAGATGTGCCGGGAGCACCGCGGTCCCGTCCTCTGTGCCTGCCTGCGGCCAGGAGCCCTCGGGATGAGTCACGGTCCCCGCCGAGGTCCCTGAGCCTTCCTGCAGGGCTTGACCTTGGGGACAGGGCCGTGAGCCGGTGACGAGCATTTTCCCGCTGTCCCACGTTTTCCTCCTCCAGCCTCGTCAGCAGCAGCGCATTTGGGCTGGGGGACGGACCCAGCTCAGCCCGCCCGCCTCCGGGCACCGCTTTCCCTAAAAACCTGATTTCCGTCAGAAGCGCGGTGCGGTGGCGGGGAACGTGTGAGGGTGGTCGGGAATGGTGCTCTTGGTGGGGGGGTCTCTTTGGCAAACAGGGAGGCTGCTGCTCTTCCTTGCCCTGGTTCCGATGGGGGAGCGGGGATCTCGCCCGCCGGGACAACGAGCACGCGGCCGTTTCCTTCCCAAACTTCAAACCGAGGGGGCAGGGGAAACATGACTTTAAATTTTCCCGGTGGCGGCCTTTGCTCTCCGCCGTCCATCCACCGTTTGGGCGACACCGAAGCGTTCATAACGAAAATAAACGGAAGCAACAGGCAAGCATCCTGCCTAGGAGCCCCCTGGGGAAGCACGTCCTTCCCCGGGGCCCTCGTGCTGTCGCTGACCTCCCGCTCCCCTGGCCGCCCGCGCAGCGTGCCCCGCAGGGTGTCATAGGCTTTGCAGCAAAGGAGAAGTGGCCTGGGCGGGGGGGGACACTTCTTGGGTTTTGGGTGCTGGGTCTCCTGGATCGCTGCCAACACTCTCAAGTGGGAAGAACAGCCCCATCTCCCGCCCTTCCTTCTTGGGCCGCCTCTTGATTCCACGGCAGGGAAACCAAGGGGACCGGCAGTGTCCGGATCGCTCTTTGGTGTGGGGCAGGGAGGGAAAGTTCCTGTGAAATTTCGCAGGCCTTGCTCCCAAGGTTGACAAAGAGCAGTAA